GCAATTACGTGTGGGAATTCAAGTGGTTTACTTAGGGTCGGGTTTACAGGCTGTGATTTGCGACGCGATGGACACGTATGGCATGGGCCATGGCTGGCTCTAATCTATAAACAAATACTATGTTGCTTTGGCGTGCAAATATTTATAAACACTTTTTTAATTATTGCTCCTTTGATCCTACTCGATCCTCCTCCAACTCCTTTGAAGTTTTCAACTTTGTCCAGCTTATTCCACTTTAAAGCCTAAAGATTCGTAATGCCTTGTAGAGTTAAATCTTATCGATTTCCATTTTAAATAAGCTATATTCATAATATTTGACCTTCCTTTTTTTTTCTTCAGTTTTTGCTGTTTTTGTGTTTTCTTCAGTTTTTTTTAACTTAGAATATTCTAAGTCACTTTAAATTTAAATCAAATCTCTATCAGGTTAAGAGAGCCTTAACCTTAATGCTCCTTAAGTCTTTTTTAATTGTTTCGGGCTTACGTGGTTCTCTGTGGTTTTATCATATAAAACACAAATAATTTATGTATCATTTTTTCTTAATTAAAATAAGTGTCTTAATGTCAAAAGAAGGACAGGCTATATCTATTTAATATAATTTTAAATACATTTTAAATTGTTCGATTAAATGGATGGTAAAAACTCATTCAAGATCAATTATTTTCCACCGTAAATAAAGAGAATTTACGGCATCATCTGGCCTGTATTAATCTGCACAAATCCAATATTTGCCGAAAAGTCTAAAATTTCCAAGTAAGCATTCAAACGATGTTTACTGTTTAAAACCTAGAGACTAAAGTCCAGGGAAAAATACTAATGGAAGTCCCTGACAAACTAAAGTTTGAATCTTTACCGAGATATGTGTTAATATTTAGTGCATAATAGTACTCTAAATAAGATTATTTTCAATAAAAAAAGTACCTGTATATAGTTTTAAAAAAAACAAAGCCAAGGGAAGGATGTTTTAAGACTTTCATTTTCGCGGCCCAATGCAAGTTGCATCCAAGTGAGAAGTTGGGCCACGCAATTACTTCAAGCCCAATATAACACATTGCTGTTCTAAAAGCCCAGGAACTTAGTGGTATTCTTTTTGTTTTGGCAACATGGAAATGGCCTCCGACAAACACGTGAAAGTTAATTATTTTTCAATGTCTTAAAAATAATCATTACTCCCTCCAATTCTAAATATAAAACTATTTTTATAGTGTACTTTTCACTATAACAAGAGTCTTATATTTAGAATTACATTATAAAAAAATCTTATATTTAAGAATACATGAATATGAATAAAAAGTTACAAACATGCTTACATGAGTCACTACTGTGCCCCGGTAGTGTATTGACAAGGAGGAATTCATCTCAATTTATTCATCAGGAAGTTACATATTCAATCATCGTTAATTAAATATCCTTTATACTAAAACTACGATAACAATGAAAGTTTTTTCGTGGTTTAATTGATTTTTTTTTTTAACTCTTGTTTTTTCCTCTTCTGGCTCTACAAAAAGTAAAAAAATTAAAGAAGATGACTTTTAATATCTAGTTATTTTGAAAGGACCGAAGAAACTAGGGGTGTTTATGGGACGGGACGGGACCGGGACGGGACAGGGATTTGTCCCTTGTCCCGTCCCATCCGGGTCCGTCCCGGTCCCGTCGGTACCGGGACGGAACCAGGACGGGACCGGGATGTCCCGCTTCCCCCTTTTTAAAAAAAAAACGATACCATAATTTTTATATGAATTTTTTTATGTTATAATACTTATTTTTATTGGGCTTTTAAAGATAAAAACATTATAAAAAAATATTATGTAGAAAGCTTAATTATATAACATAAAAAAGGTGTAAAAATAATAGTGTAAAAAAAATACCGTAAAAAAAACACTATATAATGACTTTATAAATTATGTTATTGAGGAAGGAGATTTTGTTGAGATAATACTACAACTTAAGAGCTACAAATCACCATAAAAATAAGAGTTATTATTAATAAATAAATTGAATAATCTAATAATAATTATTAATAAATAATTTTTAAAAGAAAAAAAAATTCCGGGATGGGACGGGACGATCCCATCCCGCGTCCTGTCCCGTCCCGGTTACTGTCTCGTCCTGTCCTGTTTTTGTCCCATCCCGAAATTTTTTTGTCCCGTCCCGTCCCGAACTCACCGGGACCGGGACGGGACAAATTGAACACCTCTAAAAGAAACTGCCTTCATTTTTCATATTTTTTTAAGAGTGAAGTTCAAATATTTTCTTCGGTGCTTATTAATGATTCACATTGATTTACTTTACGTTTGGTACGAGGGAATTGGAAAGGAAGAGAGAGAATGAAAAATTTTAATAAGTTCGATTTAAAAAATTAGAAAAGTGAGGTTATAAAATTTTAATAAAAAAATGTAAGATAAAATATTAAGCGGATTTAGTTAAAAGCTTTTAACCCTAATATTTTATTTTTTAAATCAAGTTTATTAGTAACATTTTTCTTTTCATCCCCTTCTCTCAATTTCACTCGTATCAAACAAACTCCTAATATAACTTGGCTAAGTGATAACATGGTTTTAATCAATGCTAGGAGGATCAAATTACTTGTTAATAAATAAGCTTGACAAAACTCATTGATTTATATGCCCGGCCCACTAAAAGACTAGTAAGCAAAAAAGAATTAATTGAGATTTAATACAGATGATTATCATTAATTAATTGCTGTGGCCCTTTATTGCTTTAGATGATAGTCCAAGCGGACACAGCTTTTGCAGGGCAGGGAACATGGATTCTTCAGACATAATTCAACCTTTAGTGATTATATTTTGTCTTGATTCCCATCAGTCTCCACCCAGACAATGCACAGGAGAATAATATTTTTTTAATATCATTTTTGTACTATAGCCAGCATTAAACGGATATACCTAATCCGAATGATTTATTTTTTAAAAAATTTAAAAAACATTAAATTTATCATTGTTAACACAACATAATGATGTTAAATCAAGTTACAAAAGTCGAGGCTAAATGCTTAATTAATACTCCGTCCAGCACTATATATAAGTTTCATTTTTAGAGAGAAGTCTAAGTTAAAATATAAGCTTTATTTTTAAGTTTATCTAACATTTATTATTATTTTTTCTATTTTGTTCTTAGTTGACTATATTTAGTACTCTCTTTCTCTCATTAATATTACCCCATGTATTCTTTTTAATTATTGTTTCATTTATTGCCTCTCCCATTTATTCTCTTAATAAATAAGGACAAATTTTAAAAATATATTTTTAACCTATTTATTATTTTTAACTGATTTTAATTGTTAATTTATTAAACATAATTTAATTATTTGAAACTATGTATGTAGTAGTTGATATTATCAAAAGATCGCCCGCGAGCTGCGGGCGTTAATATGAAGGATGACTGCTGGAAATTGCAGAATTTCCGTCCTCTCTGGCCTGTTTTGTTTTTCTTTTAATTTAAATTTTATAAAAAGAATTTAAGTGGCGCTGAGTGAATTTTAATTTAAGGGGATTTTTGTCGTACAAGATTATGTTGTAAATAAAAAGGACTATAACATAAAATGTAAAAAAAAAATCAAGGGTTTAATCATAGTCGAGTCAAAAGTTGGAGGGCTAAACCCAATAAGCTTATAATTGAATTAAACATTGAAAGACCAAAAAAACAATTTCCGAGAGTTAATATCCAAACCAACAAGACATGAGGAGGAAAAAAGATATGAGCTTAACAATGAAGTGAAGACTGAACATAAATCCGACTGCAACCTTCGATTTTTTTTTTTTTGGGGACAGAAACCTTTGATTTCAAATATAAAATTTATTTTATATTATGAATTGTAATATTTTCATTTAATATTTTTTTTCGCCAACCTCAATCCATATTTCACCATGTACGTATATAATTATAATAGGAAGGAAAAGTGAAGAAAAGACACAGTTGACCAAGTCAACTGGGTCATTATTGTCGGAGAAAGAAAGGGACCAATGCTGACCACTCATGCTGGGCAATTCCAGATTCACCCACTTGTTCCCGACTTGACGTTTTTAAAGTTTCTTTTTGTTTTTTAATTAATAGGAGCCGTATAAGACTTTACTAATCCCTCGATTTTTTGACCGGTAACTAATTCCTCATTACCTTCTAGATAACCGACCAGAAAGGAAGAGGAACTATTGTTGGCAAAAAGTAAGGAAGAAAGCTATTTTTTATGAAAATTTTAGCGCTGTTATGATTCATTTATAACTGTCTAAGTTGTAAAAGATAAATTAACTTGAAACTAAAATCTCCTGAGAAAATTGTTGAAAAATTTTCCATGTCTTTCAAATTTTGTTACATGTATGACCTATTTTAAGTTGATCCAACTTGTATTTATTTGTGCATGACTTATCTCTAATTATGTGAAAAAAAATATTTAATCATAGTCGAAGATAGGTTATTTTAGTTTGCATATAAATGAAAACATATTAGGGTTAAAGTGCGTCCAACACCCCGAAGTATTTTCTCAAATGCATGCAGCATCCTAAAATATTTTGTGATACATCTAGCACTCTGAAGTATTTTTTTATATGCTTCTAGCACCAAGACAAAAAAAAACTTCAGAATGCCAGGACACCCCTAAAAAATATTTTAGGGTGCTAGATATACCACAAAATATTTTAAGATCATGAATACACCCAAAAAAAATACTTCGAGATGTTGAATACACCTTAACCCAACATATTAGACATGATTAAAAATAAGATACACTAGTTTAATAAGCTGAGTATTTAGGTAACTCTTGACAAACAGAACGTGCAACAAAATTTTGTTAACAATTTTCCCAACTTTTTTACCACCCAGAAGAAAAAGATTATGTCAATAAAACCAAACAAATAATATAAAATTACCATCCTCACCATAGGGCGGTGATGAGACTTCAGAGGCTGGGACGTTAACGGTGAAGAATACAAAATACAAAGCATGAAATTCGAATTACTTAAATAAAGTAATAAATTTAAAAAAGAAGAACACACTCTAATCTCGTTAGTGAGATGATTAATGTGTAAACATGATAATGTATAAACAAACACAAGACCCTGACCCAAAATCCTCAGCATACACAAACCATAATAATTTCATAATAACAACATTTGTCGAATTAAGTACGTACAATCTAAAATCAATCATCAGGAAACGAAACCTTATAATATTAATCCTCCTCCACCTGCACCACCCTCGCATTGCAACATCATCGTCATCTTCATCGTCATTTGCAAATAAAGAATAAACCTTTTTATTCCTTCATTTCTTCTTCTTCTTCTTCATCCATGGAGTTTCTTCTTCAAACGTGCATTGCTTCCTTGGAAACATGCGAGCTTCTCTCACTTTTATCCTCCACCACATGCCCTGCAGTTTCAGCTCCTCCGACATCACTAACATTTCCGAAAAGCAGAACACCTATGCCCACCAATGCAGCAACGAATGCGGCCCCGAACGATGCTCGAATCCGACCCGGAACGCTTGACCCAACTGCGAACCCTATGCACAACCCGGCAGCCCTGATCCAAGCGAACCAGATTGAGAATGCTCCTTCTTTTCCGGATGGTGCGCAGTCTAGAACCAGGACTCTTCCAAATGCATAAAGTATTCCATTTGATGTGCATTGGATCGCTCCAAATAGCAAAAGATGCTTCCATTTCCAGTGAGAATCAGAGAAATAGAAGGCGAAGCCGGAAGAGAGGATTGAGAGGAGGAATCCGAGGATTTGCATTTTCACTGCACTGGCTTTGATTATTTGTTGAAGAGGTTGAAGAAGAGGAAGAGAAACCAGAGGGAAGCAGAAGTACATCAACCAGAAAGCAAGCAAGTGAATTGGTTTGATGCATAGATCGCCAACAACGAAGATGACTCCTGAGATGAAGATGCACATGGTGGTGAATGAAGAGAGAAAGACACTAGCAATGGCTCCAATTCCTTGAGGGTGTTTGAAAATGGAAAAAGGATGGAACTTTGAAGAGATTGAGATCATGGAATCTGAGGTTCTGTTAAGGGCTGTGATTGCATGGATTATCCCCACAAGCCATATGAGGCCACTGAAGATGGATACCACCCACAGGCTTATGAACTCATGGTCTTTAGGTTCCCGGAGCATGTGGTAAGTGAAGGCGGCCATCATGGCAGCACCGAAGCTGCCGGCCGCGGTGGCGCAGAGGGAGAGCCAGTTGGAGACTCCTTGTCTGATGTGGAATTCTGTTTTCTTAAGGGAAGGTCCGGTGAAGGCACGGATCATGTGGCCAAGGTGGTGGGTGTGAGCGGCAATGGCGATTGTGCTTGCAGCTACGATGAATGCAATGTAAGGGATGAAGATTGCGGAGACCTTGAAGAACCCGGCCGGGAGACAGAAGAAAACACCAACCCCGGTGGCCGCTGCCGTGATAAGCGCCGGAAAATGGCCATCAAGATGGAAGGAGACGAAGCCCAGAATTGGAGCGGCCAGTGCCAGACCTGTAGCCCAACCTATAGATGTCCATTCCAATGAGGAGAATCTTGAACCACTCGTCCTTATGGTTTTCAGTGTGAGCTTACTATAACTGCAATGAACATACAAAACCCCAAATATATATATACACCTTCATAAATCATAATACTAATGCTACTACCATTTGAATAGAAACTTTAAAAAGCATATGTTGCAGAATCTGGAGATGACATTCTAAGCACAAAGTGAGCTCTGGTTTTCTGCGAGGTTTATCAATAAATTTTACAGCCAACTCCTATGATACATACTTAAAATTACCTAAGACCCACAGCTTAAATTAACGTTGTAATTCATAAACAAAGAAAAATTAGAGTTAAATCTCAGTGAAACGGCTAGTTTGCAGGAGGAAATTAAAACAAAATAATACAGAGGGACCGTTTCATTCACGTTGTCAGTTGTATAACTCTTCCGTGTAAGCTCACTGTAAAATATTCAAACCAGATCACTACAATAATGGAGTAGATATCTACCTAGATAGTTAAATAATCCCACCTCTCATATCCTAAGCATATAAAAAATTCAAATGTGGCGACTTTTGGGGCCGAATCCGACAGACATGTTGGAACTTCCTAGGAAGACCCTAGGTGTTTTTTATCTTTTTTTTTTAAAAAAAAAAATTTGCCCTCTAGGTTTGGCTTAGGACACATGAGATAGCATAGCTTGTATACACATCAAAGAGAGAGTGGTTAATAAATGTGGAGGAAGTTCGATGCAAGTGCGTGAGTTACTGATTTTTATCTTGAAAAAGGAATCTTTAATTGTGGAGTATAGTGGGAGCTAAGTATGAAAAGGAGATGGCTGCAAGGCCCCAGAAGAAACAAGCAAATATTTATATATATGAAAAAAGAGAAAAGAAAGGGAAAAGAAAAGAACACTGCTTTTGATGATGGCGAACCATGATGGAACCCTATGCACGGTCCTCACGCCTCTCCTCAGATTTCAAATTCAAAAACTTTCCTTTCTGCTCTGAGACTGAGATTTACAGTACCCATTTCCTCTGAAACCCCTTTTGAAAATTTTGAAGTATTTTTCGTGCATTTGCAGACAATTTCTCAGATGCAAGGGAAGCAGAACAGAACAAACCAAAAAAGAACACTTGGAAAAACAAAAGAGAGTAAACAGAACCACAAACACAGAGGGAACTGTCTGTCAAATTTGGCAAATCTGGAGAGAAAAACCAACTTACAGAGTGATCTCCTTGTCGGAACATGAAAATCCGGGGTGCTTCTTGGTCCAATCTTGAGCATATCCTGAAGGAAGTTGCTGAAGCTGGCTGATGATGAGAGGGAAAACAACAGGAATGAGAAGGGTCTGAACAAAATAGGTGCAAAACTCGTACAAATACCAGCCGAAGAGTTCGATTTTGGCGGGCTTTTCTTGTTCTTGGTCGTAGCCGTTATAAGATTCCCTTGCTCTGAGAATCTTCAAGGCCGTATTGTGCATGTCCGGCGAAGAAGAACCCATGCTGCCTCTTCCTCTAGCGTTTCCATCATTACCAACACTTCGCTTTGAAGTGTCTTTAGACCCTTCAGCCTCAACAGTAACTTCCTTCATCTGGGAAAATAAAAAAGCCCTTCTCTTGCTGATCTTGCTCTGTGAAACACAGAGAAGTGAGGAAAATGGCGAGTGAGGAAGACAAACTGGAGGTGTTTAAGAAACGTTAGAGAGAGACAGAGAGAGTGGAGGGCTGGTCTGAGTATGGCGAGAGAGAGAGAGAGAGAGAGAGAGAGAGGAGAGAGAGGGAGCTCACAGTCACAGAACAGCTGGGGTAAAGCTGGGAGGTTAACGAAGCTTTCAAGGGCGTGAAAGGGGGTTGGTGTTAAATGAAAGGTATTTTGGGTGTAATTCTCTCACTCCGTGTCTCTTTTGGGTTTATAATATTAAGGGTGACGGACGGAGGCGTTATGAGGGGAAAAGGGTTCATCCATATCTACAAATTCTATGTACGGGAGCCTCCACGTGAAATCAATATTTCACTGTTACCACGGTTCGTTGGTTAAAAATGATTTCCCCTTTTGCTTTTAAAAAAGGGAAAACCATATTGGAAGTACCTATATTTTTTTTAATTTTAATTTGGTACCTATGTGTTTTTTTGTTCTTAACTAAATCTTTATTTTTTCTATTAACATCATTAATCCTTATGTAGAGACTAAAAATATCAATAGAACAAAGTTATAAGAGCTAATGTTGCTAAAAAGATAAAATTAAATGTTTAATTAAAGAGGAAAAAACACATAGGTACCAAATTAAAATTAAGAGAAAGTATAGGTACTTTCAATATGGTTTTTCTTTAAAAAATGGTCAAGGTGAAAATATCCCACGTTTTATGTTTTTCCTATGAACCAGGTGTATCCTGAAAATTTTTACTTAAAAATAAGACACATGAAAGATATTTTAGTATAAATTTATCTTAAAAATTTAAAATTATAATAATATTTTTTTCTATTATTAAAAATAAAAATATTAACAATCAGTATTATTATTTTAACGATTAACGTTAATTTTTTAATAATGAGAGACAATATTATTATAATTTTAAACTTTAAAAATAAATTTATATTCAAAAATACATTTGATTAATAAAGATATTTTAGAAAAGACAACGCTTTAATCTCTTCAAATTAATTAACTGATTCTTATAATTATAACCAGAGGTCGTATAACCCAAAAATGTCATGCCTTATGATCGTTAGACACGAAGTGGACCGTATCACATGTAAGTATATAAACTTACAACATCAAAATAGAGTGCTACGTGGGATTTTTTCTTTCTTCTTCTGGTTTACCCAAATGATAAATTTTCACTTGAAATACAAGTATGTATGTATTTATTTATTCTTGTGATTGTAAAGCAACTAAAGGAAATAAAATTGGGAATTTTAATCCTAAAGTTGACATCATTATGCATCAACTAGCATGCATCATCATATTGATGTTAACGTGCTGAATCATGAGGGTCAAAAATAATAGTGCTTTGAAAGAGAATAAAGGGTGTGACCTCTTTTTTCATGCTTACATATAAACTATCATAACGGAAAGATACCACATTTGAATCACAAGGGCACCAAAATGTCTACTTTTTTTTTGGGCTCGCCCAAAATGTTTATAAATAATTTTTTGGACAAATAATAAATTATTAAAATGAGTTTGATGGGTAATATATAGATTCCTGAAACTTTGATGGATAAACCGAGCTTCCATTTTTTATATTTATACAAGGGAGCCTTTTTTTTTTTTGGACCAGAAATACAAGGGAGTTTTTCAGTTTATACTTCTCAACGTTTTTTAGCATCGTGCTTCTTTTAACCCTAAAATAATAACTTGCTGAGTAATACCCCGGTAAGTTATAATTTTTCAATTTTTTCTTCCAAAACAAAATTAATAGATTTAAAAAATAAATGTAACTCCTCAGAAACCCAAAAAAAAAACCCCCAATAAGCATCGTATACATTTAAAATAAAAAAACTATAACTTCCAAACAATAAATATTTATTCTTCGGAAAAAGCCAGTTAATTTAAGGAATCTTCCCACTTGTATAATCAAATTTGCACTTCCTTTATTATATTTACTTATTTGATTGATCTTTACAGTTAATGAATTGATTGTTTCCCGAGTTACGTCTCTGGCTTTTTATAATAAACTACAGATTCTCGGAAAATACAGACATGATAATAAATAACGAGGATAAAACTTAATAATGCTTTGGAAGGAAACAAAGGAAAATTGACAACAAAAAGAAAAGTAAGAAGCTAGATATACTCTTATACTGACATTTTAACATATTATTAAATAACTAAATAATACTCATCTGGTCTTTAATATAAGACCTAATTATTGAGTTGATTTTCGTCTTAAATATAAAAACTATTTTTCATATTTATTAATTTTTTCTAAATTATCGCTAAGGATATTTTCTCAACAAAAATTAAGTAGAAGAAGGAGAAAAGATATTAAAAAAATTATTATGATATTTTAAAAAATATGTCATATTTTTTATAACCAACTAACTTACCTAATTTTTTTTAATTTAATTAAATTAATTAAATAAATTTTATATTAAGAATTGAATGAGTACTAGCTTGAAACCTAACAAACAAACAAAAAATTCCAAAAAGGCTAACGCACGTAACGGTTAAAAATATCCGTTCAGCGGATGACAGTCTACTCCTGAGAGCCCAGTAGGAACATCACCGGCTGGCAATGACTGAATAAAATACTCCCAATAGACAGCAAGCGTTTAAAATATTATCGTTATATTATTGTTTTATAATTATTAATAATTATTTGTTTAGGATTCCGTTTATGTAAGGACTACATATAATATATGATGTGTGTCTCCTTGATGTTGTAAACTTGTGTCATGGATTCACATAAATATTTATATGTTTTTTTTTCCTAAGGGCTAATTGACGTGAGACAAATGTTGCAACATTGGGTGCTCAACCGCAGGCTTGTTTTGCCCCATATCACAAAAAATTTAGGCAACACATTCCATAACATATTTTGTTGTCTGGTCAGTTTGTGAAAGGTTACCAGGTAGTATGCCTAGAATTCCATATTTCTAACACACATGTTAAAAAAATTATTTAAATTAGTTATTTATAATAAGTATATATTATATTTTTTAAAATATCTCTATTAATTATGTATATGAAAACTACTTTTTGATTGAAACTCTTTAACATGTGAATCAGTTTATGAATCATTTATAGAAAAAATAGATAAATATTACAAATAAAGCGGGTTAGGTTTTATATGTATGACCAAATTGAATAATTAACTAACTCTTATATTAAAAAGAAAGTTTATATAAAAGTTCATCAGTATTGTATTAAATGTTTACTATAAGATTTTAATAAATTTTATCCCTTGTGTTTATATTTTTTTTAAGATTAATTTACCTAACACGAATACGATACACAAACCAGTGTGATCCAAAAGTATTTTAAAAACATCAAATCATATAAAAACACTAATTTTTACTCGCCTTTGAAATTTAGTTAAAAAGAACCTCCTAAATTTTCAGGACTGTGCATATAACATTTACCGTCAATTACTGCGTGGCTCTTTGCTCACGAAGCATGATATACTAATTGATTATATATTCCTTTTTTTTTTTTGAGCAGATGATCACTTCAAGCATGAATTATGTGTAAATAACACTTAAATTTTAAGTCATGCACAGATAAATTTGTTGTTGTATTATATATATATATATATTAATAAAATAGCAGATAAATTTGGTAAATTTGCTCGGAACATAACAAAAATTTGAAGCTTTATATGGTGGAAGTTGACATTAACTTGACGGGGGGGTTGGAGAGATAGAGAGAGCAATTGTGGGTTCAGATTTTATGAAAGCAACCTGACCTTTTATTCACTCTATCCTCCCAACTTGTTATGTCATGCTGATTCTCTCTTTTAATAAACTTTACATGGTGATTGGTGCAGGCCAAACAAGGGAAGATTATTATGTAAAATAAAATGTTTATTACTGTCTCCTGTCCTTAATATAAAATCCTATTTGATTTTCATTTTGATCCTAAATATAAGATTCCGGTTAATTTTGTTCCTCATATTTATATATTTTTTTCAAAGTAGTCATTCTAATAACGATAGTTTTAGTCAATACACTTGATTAGCAAGGATATTTAGAAAAGACAACACCTACTTAGGACAAATAACTAATTCTACTTATTTTTTTAATTTTCTCAAATTAGTCAACTGACTCTTATAATTAGGATCAGAGATAGTATATGCTATCTTATTATTATTATTATTATTCCTTTTTGGGCATACTATTTATAGGAAACAGGGTTGTCGAAGTACAATTTCTTTTTTCTGGCTTCATGATGCTATAATATTCTTTCAATGTGATTACATTGAGCCTTGGTTCAAACAAATGTCTATTCCCTTTATCATATTTATAAATTATTTTTAATATATTTGACCGAAACTAAAAAAATTCAAGTCTCATTAACTTTGTATTAAAATTTAACAATTTTTCAAATTTATCCTTATTTGTTGGCAACAAATTTTGGGAGAATCTAAAAAAAATTTGAATCTCAGAATTCTGAATCAATCTTTTTTACTATACTCTAATAACAATTAATAACATTTAGAAATCAAATAACAACATATTTTTGTGATATTTTAAAATTTTAGTGATATTTCTTTAGTTTTTTTTAAAAAAATTATCCCTGTTTATTTAATATATGCTATATCCTACCTTATAAATGGAATTAAAAAAAGTAACTTTATTAACGTCTTGCAATTAAATGGAGGAAGTAATGAATATTTGAAAGTATACTTTGAGTTCATGAGCAGGCAAACTGATTGAGGCATATTCAGATCAGATGGATTTGGATTTTCTGAAAGCGCAACAAGAAAAAAAAAAAAGTAATAATAATAGCACAGAGGCCTAAAGAAAGAAAGTTGGAGGGCTTAAAGTGGAACACCATAGGGCCGCCCCCTACTAACTAATCCATCCAACCGCCGCTTTTTGTCCCCTCGTTAGGCCGAACCGTCTACTCCCCTCCCTCTCTCTCTCTCTCTCTCTCTCTCTCTCGTTAATTATAGGAAAATTACTTATGTTTACTGCCGCAAAAGATAACTTCTCATCAGCCATGACATGTTACTGCTGTAAGGTCCCAAAAAAAAAAAGGTAAAAAATCATACTACAACTGTACTATTCCAAAAGTCAATAAAAAACGTAATAATGGTAAGGCGTCCTCCCACTTTAATTTTATTATTTATAAATTCGTCTACTTAATCAAAAGGCACATATTTTCTAAGAGTAGTTTTGGCTGGCCAATC